GTCTGGTGGTGATCGGCTCCTGATAACGGGAGCGACATTTATCACCCAACCGTTGTTAACTCTGCCAGGGTGATTCCAAAGGAACGAGTGGCCCTCGCCCAAAAGCTCATTAGTCACTATCTTCCATTTGAGCATTTCACGTAATTGCCAAATATGTTTGTCTAAACTGTGGCACTTTAAACTCAGAAGAAAGCGCTCTTGAGTACCGAGACCGATTCTCAAAAAGCTACCTAACTACGGGTCAAGCTAGTCAATGGGTACACAGTATCCTCAAAACTTGCGCGTGCGATTAGATGTGCTCGGCCGTAAACGCACACAGCAGGATCGTACCTGGGAGTGAATGGCGATCTTGCGTGGAGAAGGCGTATGCACTACATATTTAATATCACGCGCAATTTCCAAAGGTACGGTACCAGGGCACACCATTGCTGGGTATTTCTCCAAGAGGGAGGTCGCATTTGGTCGCTCGCTGGGGTCGTATTTGATCGAGGAAAAACTTTTTTGACAGCTGATTTTTTTTCTTGTTTCAGGGATGCTATAAGGGAGACGGGGTCGAACTAGCCTACCGGTTTTCAACGAGTTGTTGACTTTTGGTTTTTTTCCTGTTTCATATGTGCTATATATACCCCGCGCTACAGCTCGATGAGGAGGGAAACCGACGGAAAGGGGGGGGGGTGTACGGACCCGACCAATATCTTCGAGCAATGATCTGTCCTGTACTGTATCACCCTGACTTCCTGATCATAACCCTGTACCTAACAGTTCTGAGTCAAGATCTATCTTCCTTTCAAGCTCAAACACTCGAAGTGCGAGCATTCCAATTTATTGCCAAGGTTGCGTATGAACATTCCTTCAACACATAGCAATAGGGTTGTAAATAATAGCAGAAATAAAATTTTGAACTAAAAAACGCCAGTGGACAGTTTGTGCTCACCGTTGAAACTTTTTGGCAAGCTCCGTCGTCAAGTGCTGAGTCGGAATCATATATGTACGCTCCATGAGTTTTAGAAACTCTGAAATTAACTCAGTACCAGACAGATGTAATGAAAGAACTCAGGATAGAGAGTACCGTGAGATTTAGTTTCCGATCTGTCAATTAGAATGATGAGCAAAGACTCCTTAGAAGCTTTATTTTGTTCGAAAATCTGAAAAGGTACCAATTAAAATTAGTTGTACGATATTGTTTTGTTATGACTGCTGGATTTGTTATGAGTGCGGTGCATTTCGGAGCTTTTATCCGCCCAAGCAAGCCCAGTACCAAACTACCGGCTGTGGAGGGTCTGATATCTGGGATTTGACGCACGAACGCTAATGAGGCAAGATGCGCCATTTGCTGCTACACCATCTTCGTCCACCACGTACATATATTAAACGTAGTCTCCGCGCTCGAGCAACTCCGAGGTGTCCCTGCTTGTACAAAAGGTCTGGCCCCCATTCTCCAAGACTGTTCCATTTTCGCGGCTTTACAGTAAGTAACGAAGCGCTACACCCCTCATAGGTGGCAGTTCTGACGCTCCCTAAAGGTCCCACCCGCAAAAACTCGAAGGCTATTTTCTGTCTAGTTTTTTCCCCTGTTAGATGGTATAAGCATTTTATACCGCGATTAGTGGACAGAGGCGGCTGAATATCGCTTTTGCATAAAACGAGTAGGTCCGTAGAATCGTCAAGACACTGCCAAATCCTTTTTAGGTGCCCTCCATGATTTTTTTTCTCTTTTCTCTTCCCTGGGAAATCATTCAGCGACTACATGTTCTTCGCCAGCGATTTGCCAAGAAGAATATTTCTCAGCGATTACCAACTTCACCGTTTCATTCTATAAAAGACAGTCGTCGAGTTTTTCTACAGGGCACCCACTTTATCGTTAAGGAATGGTAGATTGAACACCGCAGACGGCAGAAACTGTTTGGTACACAACGTACTCCCTACGGGTGTCTCTCCCTCACTTCATCTACCAACCCTTGCTCAGCAGCTCAGCACTCATCTTGGCTGCTCCGGATGCGTCCTGGGACTCATACCCTCGACACCGCTCACTTCGTCGGACGCCCCGCCCACTGTGGGCGGAGCTTAGGTTACCTTGTACGTGCTCTGCAAATGCCACAACTATTCCAAGCACAATCAGTTCACTAATCAGTTCCCTAAGAGTGATTTTCAAGAGCCCCCAATTTCCAGGAGGCCTCACAGACGCGCAGACACACAAACAACTTCAGGCCCATATATGGCCAGATATCAAAGTTTATAGGAGATCTCAAAACGTTCAGTTATGTACAAAAGGCTCCATCCCCCCCCCCTCCCAGGGCCTAGAACGGCAACTTTCTAATATTATCAAGTTGTGCGGGGTTTATTGTAGAAGCCCAAAAAGGTGAAAATTTCGAAGAATCAATAAAATTTTGCTGAAGATGGTTAGTGCCTAGTAACTTCGTTGTGTGAAGAGTGGATGTGACCCTAGTGAAGTTGAAAATTTTCAGGAAAAATCGAAATTTGAGAAAGACCTTAAAAATTGGACGGAGTCGCCCTCGCCCCAATTCGATGTACGGTCATTTTCAGTTTGTGTGTATGTGTGAAAGCAACAAAGTGCCAAAAAGTCACAAAAGCAGAAGTTGTAAAATAAAATTTCAAAAACTAGTTCACGCTGAAATGGGACCTGGCTGTTGGGGTGGGGCCTGCAGCAGTGCCTAGTGTGGCATGTTTCACCAAGCCCTGAATGTGATTTGAAAAAACTTCAATTAGGTTCGAAACGTGTACGGTCGGAGTACAATGTGCAGGGTCCGTGGGGAAGTTGCCCACTGGCTTTCACCCGCGCTAACGAGCCTTCTGTCCTACCAGGGCAGGTAAGTTGATACCATACCCATCCCAGAAGATATGAACGCTGACTGCTGACCCTAACAAATCACTGTAAATGCATTCAAAAGGCTATCACTACTCCTAATTGAAGTAGAGTGCACGGCACATGCCAAGAAAGGATTGTACAACGCCGGAAGCTTGGCTTTCGAGCTTTCACGCACATGATAAAGGACCTTTTACGGCATTTTGGATGAACTAGCCAGTTTAATCTAGAGCCGTGGCATGAAAGCTTACCTTTTCAAGTTCGTCTTCCATTCTAAGTGGGTTCAATAAGATGAAGCCAATAGAGCCACACTTCACACCTCTGTTACTGAAAAGTCTCTGCAGCGGTTCTTTAACCATGCTGGAAAGATTAAAATGAAATGCAAGGCTTTGCATGAATGATAACTAAGCACATGTGATTAGGAGTCGTAGGTTTAACCTACTCGGGCAGTGATCGATCACTGTGAACAATTATGATTCGGTCGGCTTTGCCACCTTCCACATATCTTGTGCCATAACCTTCACGCCAATTATACTGAAACAAGGACATCGCATTATTATTATTACCACCACACTTGGGTTTGGAGAGACATTTTACGACTAACTGACAATTGCCTCGTATTACAAATACGCACGTACGCAACCATATAGAATGTACCAGCTTCGAATGTCAGAAGTGCGTAGCAAGACTGCCGGTGGCCTTTGACGCCCGTAAGTCTCCGCCCACTGGTGGAGGCGACCGCCCCGTTTAACTGGTGCGCTTCTTCCAGGGTTTCACTACTTTTCCGACTGAGTGCTTTCTCACCTTGTTGTCTGGTGTCTCTGGCCCGCGTTTATCTTGCCAACCGGGATATACACACTAGCACAACTACGAAGCCAAGAGAGGACTTTCTCAAGACTCGACGATCTCAGTAGCTTCGTCTCATCCTTCCCACATGTAGACTACTTGGCATTTAAGAACTCATTAAAGACCCAAATGGAAGCTTTGCAAACTATATGCCCACCCCATCTTCAGGAAAGTGAAAAGGGTTGGAACAAAACGTAAAATGGTTAGAGAAATGATCGCTTTAGTCTCACGAACTTTTCCGCTATCAACCTGACATGCGCGATTGCCACCGTAGGAGATTTGAGGTGCCTTGACGACGAAATCCTTCAACAGTTTTCGGCAAATTGGATATTGAAACTCCAAACCTAAATTAAGCTATTTCCATAGCTTCATTACTTTTGAAGTTCACAAAATAATCAACTTACGCTCTCAAAAATTTGTTTCGCGATGCATTATTGTGGAGATTGAGTGCCTCAAGTAAACTGTGAATGCTTTCTAACCGAACCTCAGGCTTGTCAGCCCTTCTGGTCTGGAAAAAGTACTTTAGTAACTCGAGACTGATGGCTAGTATGTTCTCGAAATCTCTTGGGACTGTAGAGAAAACCTAGAAGGTAACCAGAGCAAACCAAAGGGTGGATAATCAAGCTGTACAGGATTTTAATTTAAGCTCCTATCCCGGAAATGGGTAGGTGTGGCTGCTCACTTTTTCGGCGGCGGCAGTGACTGCACTGTGGCAGCGCTCAGACTTCACGATTACGTGCGTCGACACGCAACTACGCTGTAACGCGCTACAGCTGCAACGCCACTCCAATACTATAAAGGCAAGCAGCTGCGGACAGTAATCCGACGCCGCTCTGGCGGCCACCTCTGTCGATGCCCTGCGTGATTAGGTGAAGTGAACCTCCATCCCCTCCTTAGTTTCTCAATAAACAGCGGCACCATCTTCGGCGACGTAGGCGTCTAAGGATTTGAGCGCTGTTGCAAATGTAGTGCGTCAGGACACTTCACTGCGAAGTCTGAACGCTGCCTTTTAGCTTGATCTCGCAGTTTTCATGTCTTTGAAGAGCACAAAACAGTACAACAGTCGGAAACTTGTCTCGAATGGAAATATCCCAAGAAACGCATCCCACACCACGCCTAGTTCGAGTACGCAGCCACCAGAAGGTGAGTGGACAACTGTTCAAAGCATCAATAGAACGAGCAATGTTGACTCTGTATGCGTCTGCGTGCTGAGTTAACCTCGTCATCCGGGCAGTTGATTAGGGCGGTCGTCAACGGGCCGCAGCGCGTGCCAGGAACTTTTTTCCAGGCTAATTTAGTCATTTTTTCCACCTTGTGAAGATAAGGAGCTGCTAATCTGGGAAAAAGTAGCCAAAACAGTGAAAAGTTGGAAAAAATGACTAAATTAGCCTGGAAAAAGCAAATAGTTCCTGGCACGCGCTGCGGCCCGTTGACGACCGCCCTAATCAACTGCCCGGATGACGAGGGTATGCATTTGTACTACAGTTCGCTGCGGACGGTTGGGCGTGTCAGGCAGTATGAGTGTGTCACGCCGTCAAAGCCGTTCTCTGCCTTCTTGTTGAAGCGCGCATGCGACAAAAAACGGTAGAAAACGAGTAATCGAACGATATGATACAGTCCTACACTTGCACGCTTCAAAGGCACCATCCGCGATAAAAAGCCTAGGTGATTTTGCAGGAATATGGGAGGCAGTTCGCCAAGTGAACCATCTATTAGGTTGTTCGAAAAGTCCTGCGACACTTTGATTGAATTGTTCTAGAAAAAGACCAAAAATCATTTTGGATGTTTTTATCCCTGATTAGTGGAGACTGTCCTCTGGGGTTTCTGCACATGGGTATATCATGACTTTGAGGAAGTTTTCAAAGCTTAAAAGTCCCCCAGAGATCGAGGTACTTTTCGACCTATCCCATATTATGAGTTCCTGTAGGGCCACTCCGCCGTAGTCGAGGAAGCTAACACTTACGTTGTCTTGAGGAAGGATATCGCTTGCCATGGCAGAGGGTAGCTTTTGCATCAGCGCTTCCAGGCTGGACTTATTTAACTCGTAGTTAGGCAATGTATAGGTCGCCCACCAGCACAGAATGACGGCCCTTTACTCAAGCTTCTTGAGGCGCAGCCGAACGTAACCACCAGTAAGTTGGCAACCTCTCTAGGCTCCACCTGACTGACAACTGCCATGCTTCTCCGCAATCTCGGTTATCGGAAAAAATTTTTGTGAAGGATGCCTCATGAGTTGGACCCGTCTGACAAGTCATACCGAATGACCGTGACTGAGTTTTCTTTTCCTTGTACACAGCGAAAGAACTTTTGTGAGATCTTGTGGTTGGTAGCGAGTGTGGAGTCCTTGCGTACATCATGCACATGTCCCTCGCAGGATCTCTCAAACAGAAAAGTAGATTGCTTAGCCAAAAGAAGATGTGCATGGGATAAAGATTTCAGTGTGTTATTGGTGGGACTTCAAAGCGGTATCACTGGATACCAGCACCGTTGTAAGGACCACAGTCCACCTTAATCGACTTCAAAATATGGATGACGTCACGCTTGAATTCATTCAGAAATACTCAATTTTTCTCTACTACTCGGTAATGCGAGGACCGCTGTGGGGATCAGGCTACGCCAAAAGATCATGCATTTCGATCAGAGAATGCGACCGTACTCAGGTTATTTAACAAAGTTAGCAGCCTCTAATTACCACCTCCTTTGGTCACTATCGCATCCTTCAAAAAAAAGTTCCGAAAATCAACCTCAACTCGAGAATGAGGTCCACCTCTTCTTTTTACCACAGTTGCCGTAGTTCTATGAGAATGGAAATGAGAAGCTGTGCAAAAGAAAGGCACTAGTCCTAGTCATCAACTGCGGTTACCTTGTAGATTGGAGATGTCCTTTACTGACCAGAAATTTAGTTCGAAAAATTTGGTCAAAGTGTCGCAGGACTTTTCGAACAACCTAATATGAAGAGAAAGCGCCGAAGGGAAGGTTGGAAACGCATTCGTCAGGCCTCCTCTAGCCTCAAACAACTGTAGAGGTAAAAGACCGAAAAGACCGCGCGCTGGGACAATTCCCGTCGGCTGATTCCCAGTAATGAACCCTATGACTCTACAAGAGACATTGAATGCATCCACTCCATGATACTCGGGAGCATTACTTTTGGCTGGAAGGCCGACTCTGGAGGCGGAGTCTGGAGACGGAGTCTGGAAGCGGAGACACTGGAAAAAGGATGCACTACTCCACGAACTGGCACAGGGTTGTCCACTCCGAACCGCATTACCTTCCCACATATCTCTTACATTTTCATAGGTCATCGCATACCGCTCCTTCAACAACTGGTGGAGAACGGGTTTGGCACCGCACCAAACTCATCCCGCCTAAAACGCTCAACCGTCCGCAGCCAACTACACTATATGTGAATTCATTAGATAAGGAAGGCATGGTGGAATGACTACCGCGCCGCTTACACCTTTCCTGAAGCTGAACTCTAGCCCAAGCCTTCTACCCTTCCAGGCCGACATATCGGTGCCAGGATGGTTTGGGAGGATAAAAAGACCGACCTGCATATTGGCCGGCCCTAAGCAGCTGGCCGTAAGTCACCGTATAGGTATTATCGCATACAAAAGCGACTACGATTCCGAAAGGAATTAGAGTGTGTGGCTTATAACAGGGTGGATTGGCCAACGCCGGAAGCTTTCATGTTTTCAGCAGAAGAAAATAACCTTCCATTAAATCATAATAACAAACAATAAAAATTGTTCCGGACCCACCGATTTTGCAGTTAGCTGTTTCTCTAGCGGTACACGTTGATTCGGTTCCACTCGAAGCAACTCCATCGGGAAGTACTGTATTTTACCTCGTATTCGCCATTCCACTGCTGGCCAATGAGGGTTGATTCTTACATTCGTGCCAAAGAACTTTGACAGTACGCTAACTTTAGTTCTGGCACTAAAGTAAAACATCAGTGAGTTTGGTAACGGCTGTTCAGTAAGAAAACAGCAGGCACACATAGGAACCTGAGGAAACAAACAATACTCTTACTTGTTTGGAAGCTCATCTTCGAGATCCACAATAGGCTTCCTGCTGATTCCTATGGCTACGAAGCTGATCGGATTCGATGCAGTACCACTGTATAGCATACGCACACCTGAACTAATTAGATTGATATTCTTCAATTTATCATTCCCACGAGATATCACAGCTTATAGTAAGTATTCGCTGCAGTAGTGCGGGTCGGTACAGATGTCCTATTAGTGACGAATTCGTAGACGTTCACCATAGGATGCGCACAATCTCTGCCGTCTCTCCCGCATGACCAGTCATACGCCTGACCATATCCAAACGCGCCACTTGTCTGCACCCTCTCACCTCTATTTACTGATGTGAGTGCGCGTTTCGTTGCGATATCTTAGTATGGACGCAAGCGGCGCATATTAAAGGCAATTGGCTGTCTGCACCCTCTCACCTGTATTTACTGATGTGAGTGCGCGTTTCGTTGCGATATCTTAGTATGGACGCAAGCGGCGCATATTAAAGGCAGTTGGCACGATAAATCCCTCAAGACGAGTAGGATTAATACGCCTGGCAGGACGGAATTCCGCGACCCTGAGCAGGCGCTGCATAATGCCTTTTCCAAGGGAGGTGCCCTTATAAGGGCCCTATCAAGCCACAACATTCCGACCCAAACGCCCGCCCGCCCACAAATGGACGACCGTTCCTGACGCTCTAATCGATTCATTTGCTAAGCAAATTATGAAGCGAAATTGGTATGAAGCGGCCGTGATGCTGCATGGATATATGAGTACACATATGCAGCCGTACCTTCGGTAGCGGTTATTGGCAAGATGCCTACAGGAAACTCGTCCAAAATTGATTTTTAACACATTGAGAACGGAGGCTCTTTCTTCGCAGGATTTTGACCGTTTCACTCCGTTCTTTCGCCATTTCCCCACTATATAGCGCCCTACTAGCATTTTAGGCCGAGCACCAAATCATCGTGCCAACTGCCTTTAAGGAAAGCTCGAGCTGAGCATGGAGGCAAAGCCTAGGTATTACTACCCTCTACCCCCTCTCGTTCACTTTTGAATAGGAAATGTGGCACGCTTAGCAACAAACAGCAACAAGCAACAAGCAAGCAACAAAAAGGCATTGCAACCCCCGTCTTTCGTTTTCGGCGAAACCCGCCGTGTTTCTTTTTTCGGCATTTTCCTTCAAAATTTTCCTTTTAGACAACTTTTCATGCAATTTCCATTAGACACAGTAGGCTTTTGCACTTTCTGAACTTGACTGGGATCGGATGGAGAAGATTCTCGCTTGAATTCTATACAAATAGTGATGACAGTAATGCACAAGTAATTCCAATTCTTGCGATTTCCCTACCTCACTCAACGCCTACAGAAAGACCAGGGGAGAAGTGCCCTCATGGCAACATATCTCACCTCGGTATATCCAGCGATCTTAATATTTTCAGATAAAATCAAACCTTTTACGAAGTCATTAACTTCACGCCATTTGGGATTCATTCCTCTATTGTTCTGACTAAAATCGAAGCGCTCAACATTTTGTAGACCATCGATTTCGCGAACACTGTGCATAAGGTTCTGACTTTTGAAGAACAACCCGACACGATCTGGAACATCGCCAATTGCGCAACGAGTAACGCTGTACTCTTGCGGATGCTGGGGCGTGTAAAGTGGGCAGGGTTTCGCCGGGCAGCGTGTTCTCCACCAGTTGCTGACAAAGGCAAGCGATGTCAACTGGCCGAACCCAGCCCCCTGACACGCCAGCCTCCGCAGCGAACAACACTGTGCCTTAAGTTACAAAAGCACTTACGGTCAAGTATCAATGCAGGGACAACACCGCCTGGTTGGCCACGTCTTCCTTCAATGAATCTGGAAAAATAGACGGATTTGTACCCCTGCTAATCTCCAAGCTTTGGGGTACAGTTTTAGGCACGTCCCACGTTCGAATAATGAGCAGAATGTTTTCTTGTACAGTAACGGTCCACAAACAAACACAGAGTTATAGGAACGTTAGGCGCTCAAGACACTGACGCTGCGCCGCCTACCACCCTGTACTACGCCCATGGTATCAGCGGTTCCGCTTGTGAGAGCTAAGTGAGAAGGGGATTCCGTTGATACCTTTATGATACCATTATGATACGAACCAGTGAGAACTCGTCCAAGCACGCCACTCTTCAATTTGTGCCGTCTCGGGAGGGGCTCTACGTAAGCATCTCTGCTTTTTCTTCATTAATATGTTACTTACCACCTTACCACTTGTATTTGAGCACCTGCCCCCATTTGTGTAATGGAACGTGCCTTCAAGTTTTTGTTTCGGTTGCGGAATTGGGATAATTTTTGAAATTTATACGATTTGTGAAAAACGTTGAATCAAGGATGGGAAGAAGCTTCACATTCTAAGCAACACTTCACTGAACAAGAAAAAAAATTCCAAAGCAACACAGCAAAGCAGTGACACTTACTTGATCCCTTTACGAGCGCCAAAGAATCTCTGCATTCCATAGCCAACGTTTTCAGAAGCTTTTTGACAGTAGAGACACCCGAAGCCGAATTGAGTGAAGAGATTACTGAAAGCGAAATTGGCATTGAAATCATAGTCTTCTTCGCTTGCACACTGAGGTTGGCAAGGGAAGGGGGGGGGAGAGGGCGAACAGTGGGCCTTCCAGCCTGTGCACCAATTATGGGAGCTGGCAAGGCCCCTATAACTGGTGAAGAACAAGCTGGCACCACGCCAAACCCGCCCTGGAACTCCCCACGCCTGCAGCAAACAAGACTGTGCCTTCACTTTTACAGGAACCAGTTTCATATCCGAAAATTGATTTTTGCTAAATATCGAGACCTGAGATCAGAAAGGCAAACGTACCTATCTGTTGCATATTGGCTGGTGAGCAGTTCATAAAACTGCTTCCAGGATCGATCGAGAGCAGCCCAATTGCGATTCTTCTGGAAAAAAGCTTTTTTTTATTTTACGGCATACTGAAATCCCTCTCTATAAGAATGATTCCAGCAAAGCTGCAAATTCTGAGACCAAGTAGTTCCGCCACTTTTCTCCTTTATGGCTTTCACGAATTTCTGATTCATACTTTTCTCGAAGGTAGTTTTTGCAACGCTTTATGTGGAAGAGAAAGAAGCCTATTCAAAGGGGGAGGGGGGAGAGGGTCAAAAAAGAACCTTCCTCTGGCGCACACTGCCAAAGCGCTTCAAGATCCCAGTAGCTGCGACCCTTTCTGAACAGGGCACATCATCGCTAGGGATTCCCCAAAGGCGAGGTCGTATCTGGCCGCTCGCAGGAGAGAGGGGGAATTGTAATTAGTCTCTTGATTGTGAGATGGAGATAGTGATATTTTTTTTAATAGTTGGACGTTATAAATGGAGAGAGTGATATTTTTTTAATAGTTGGACGTTATAAATGGAGAGCGGTCGTATGTGCTCGTTGTTGGGGTAGGGGGAGCGGGGCGTATTTGCCTTCGGAGAGAAAGTTGCGGCGTTTAGGAAAATTTTCCCCGTTTGTTGACTTTTAGCGGTTTTTTCCCGTTTCACATATGTAATATAGCCCCTCCTCAACAGCGAAAATTTGGGGAAAAAGTAAGAAAATTTTCCGGGGGATGTTCCGGGAACGTCGTTAGGAAGTGTGGGGTTAGTAAGCAAAATCGGGGAGAAAGTGCTAGCTAAGGATGGCAACGCGAGAGCCGTCGTCTTTTCCGGGTTGTTGTTTTCTTCTTTTACGACGTGCAATCTAGCCATCTCTTTCAACCGATCGTATCAGAGGGGAGAATGGGAGGGGAGAGGTCGCATCCAGTCACATCCTAGAGTGTAGTCAAAGGTATTAAGTGAAAAGCCACTCACTTGTGCCGATAAATCTGCAATGTCGAATGAAGCAGCTGCTTCACGGCAAGCAGTTATTTCGATGGTTAATTTACTGGCGTCTGCTCGATTGATGAGTGCCCTCAACTCCTTAGGCATCTCGTTTACGGGAACGGTTAGAGTACCGTCTATGCTGACAAATGATACGAATATTGTGTCAGTGGACTATCTTCTTTGCTGTACACAGGCTTGAACACCTCGAGAGGAAGTTAGGAATTAGGAAGTCTCCTAGGACATCACTTTCACGGTTACTTTTTTCTATAAAAAAGGAAAGAAAAATAGAGCAGGCGATATTGGCTGCCTATGGCGTGAATATGTCCTTCCCAAGTATGAGGGGAATGGTTCGCAGCTGCAGTAGCGTGCCACCATCCGCTCAAAAATGCACGGAAACGGGGACGGAGGGTATGCTGCCTAGGTGTTTTTCATTCTTGCGCTATCCTCAAGAAGCAGTACTTGGTTTGATACCCCAGCCCCGCAGCAAAGACGCAGCCAGCCGTAGAGAGCAGCTAGAAGTGAGAGCTCGCAGACAAGTAGCGCAGTTGGCTACGGTCAGGCGTGTGACAGCGCGCGCGGAGTAAGGGGACGTATAACACTACCCTCCAGCCCGCATCCGCGCACTTTTGAGTGGAAAAAGTGGCAAGCTACTGCAGCTGTGGCCCCACTCTCCCCATACACGGCTAGAACCAGCATCCACGGAGGTGAGTTCACAGTTTGTCTTCAGTTACGGATGTTACAATTACCTTGCCAATTACTGGTATTACATTTTTTCAAATATTCTTAACAACTCAGATTTCCGAAAAAGCCATTTAATCCAAACAATCAAAGCAACCGTACAACCGCGATAAATACAGAATCTCAAAAAAAACTGGTGCACTGTGAAAAAAACTGTGTCCGTGGGATTACCCAGCCTGATTACAAATACGGTGGTCCCTTTCAGCTTCGCCGCTATTACGCACCAAACTGACGCCACACTTCTTTCATAGAACTGGCAGTGATTTACGTTAAGGGGTTATTTGGCATCCATTCATTACGAATATTACATCAGTTTTCAGCGTCGGCGCAATTTAGCGCTTGATGCGAGCAGCCAAAGCTTCTTCTTCCACCAGTTGTGGCATTCTGAGCCGCCACAGGTATTGGGAAAAGTCGCCGTGGTTTGGCTGCAACCCACGCCACTTCACACGCCCTTTTGTTGGCTTGGGCAATGATTCTACCTGCACCGTGAGACCTATCTCGGGTTGCAAGCAAACAAATAAATAATTGAATAAATGAACACCACATGAAGTTAGTTAAGCTTTTAGATGTTGCCACTAACCTCTTTCAAAGCATACGCTAAGTCTTCCGACGAGAACATCATCGAACCACCATCGTGAATAACAGCTGATCCTTCACTAAGTATACGGTAATGTTCCA